TTTCTGTGTTCATTAAATGATCAATCTTTTTTCAGTGAAGCAAATTTATTTTAGTTTATTGAGCATAATTTGGGAGGGTTTTAGCTTTCATATGAGACATTTCTAAAACCAATCGATTAATTTAAAGTCAAGTTATAAGCTTTTGTTTCTACAAAATGGATAAGCGACAAGACTTTTGTCAGGGACTGTACAGTATTTAAATGTTCATGTTTATTTACTATTGTAGTATTATATTCTATTATTAACTATTGAAGTTTACAACAAAAATTGTATCCTGCAGATAGAGGAGCACAGAATATGTGTGTGTGTGCGCGCTCGACCATTGAATAAAAAAGGTAGGTTCTCTATTATTGGCTTTTTTGATTTATATAGTGAATGTATCAGTTTTCTGTAAACTGTCCCTTTTAGAGCTATCAATGAAGGACTTAGATGTCATCACTATCCCAAGTAAAGATGTTGTTATGGTTCATGAACCGAAGCAAAAAGTTGACCTGACACGCTACTTGGAGAATCAAACATTTCGCTTTGACTACGCTTTTGATGAGAACTCCACAAATGAAATGGTTTACAGGTATGGGTTTTATTGTCCCTTTGAGCATTTAAAAAAATCATGACTTCAGACAACATCAACTGTGTTGCCAGATTTACAGCCCAGCCTTTGGTTGAGACCATTTTTGAAAGAGGAATGGCAACTTGCTTTGCTTACGGACAAACTGGAAGTGGAAAAACACATGTAAGTAATGTTTCTGATTCCGATATGTTGTGAAATGACATTACTTAGGAATGACTATGTTTCAGACCATGGGAGGAGACTTTTCAGGGAAGAACCAGGACTGCTCTAAAGGAATCTACGCTCTGTCAGGTAAGTTATTTAATCATTTAATTTTGTTTTAGCTTATGTATGCATGTGTGTATATTTTTATATATACCGGTACATATATATGTATGCATTATATTATGTACGTATATTTTTTTCAGCCAGAGATGTCTTTCTCATGTTGAAAAAGCCAAACTACAAAAAGTTAGATCTCCAGGTCTTTGCCACTTTTTTTGAAATCTACAGTGGCAAGGTTGGTATGCATACTTCATACATACCCATATTTATATGTTGTTTTAATAAACAGCTGCTGCTTTTGTCTTTAAGGTGTTTGACTTGCTGAATCATAAGGCCAAGCTGCGGGTATTGGAAGATAGGAAGCAGCAAGTCCAGGTGGTGGGCCTACAGGAGAGAGAGGTCAAATGCACAGAAGATGTCCTTAAACTAATCGAAGTCGGAAACAGCTGCAGGTATCCTTTGGCTCAGCTGTAGTATATGATTCCTTTATTGGCTGTGGGAAATAATTCATATGATTTTCCCAAGGACTTCTGGGAAGACATCAGCAAACGCCCATTCCTCCAGGAGCCATGCCGTTTTCCAGATCATTTTGCGCAGACGAGGAAAGATGCACGGAAAGTTTTCTCTTGTCGATCTGGCTGGAAACGAGAGGGGAGCTGACACATCCAGTGCAGACCGCCAGACTCGTCTCGAAGGAGCTGAGATCAACAAGAGTCTGTTGGCTCTGAAGGTATGCTGCCCAATCCTTTACCATATTATCTGATATGTTTGTTATCCTTTTGATTTATCTTTTTCAGGAATGTATTCGGGCTCTAGGACGAAACAAACCCCACACTCCATTTAGAGCAAGCAAATTGACTCAAGTACTGAGAGATTCCTTCATTGGAGAAAACTCTAGAACTTGCATGGTATGGCAAAAACCAGTGGTCACCATTTAACTTCTGTTATGTCCTTGATGAGACACTTAGTTAAACCATTGAAGAAGAACCACAGGAAACGTTTTGGAAGTTTAATTTTCCTCTTCAGATGGTGTAACAGACAACAACGTTGCTCTTAGAATCTGAGCCAAATGTAATACCAAAACAAAGTGCATTCATCTTATTTAAAACTTTATATATTCACTTAATAATACAAAAATATAAATGTTTAGGGACTTATAAACACATTAAGTAACTCACAGTATTGCCTGCTTTGAGCTCCAAGGTGGATTACGGTTGATGAGACCAGCCTGACAGATCCCACATACAGAATGTCTATTTTCTGGTTTCCATCTATGGAAACCAGAAAATGCACACCGGAAGTGAACCCATTCCGCTATTTTTTTTATACATTTTTAAACATGAAAGTAATTAACTTATTTATTAAAGGAACACTATTAAAGGTACAATTGTCTTAAGGGCAACACAGCTTCATACCTTAAGTTTGGTCAAGGGGCTTGAATGTTTTTATTTTTTCAGATTGCTACAATCTCCCCTGGAATGGCATCTTGTGAAAACACTTTAAACACTTTGAGATATGCCAACAGGTGTGTGGGGTTTAATTACACCTTATTGTCCTTGTGTTGTGTCTTGTGTCTCATTTAAAATCACTGTGTTTGCAGGGTCAAAGAGTTTGGCATAAACCCTTCAGATATCTCTTTCACACAGAGCGGGGGAGGAGGGCGATCTGAGTTGTCACCTACTTATGAGTATGACCTATACTGATTAACTATATATATATAAAACAGTTATACTAGTAAACCTTTTAAAAACACAACATAGACCTGAAGAACATGTGACCTCTGCACTGTTTATGTTCAGGGTCCAGGATCTAACAGTGGATCCTCTGGCAGCGATGGACTGTCATCAGGCTGGACACATTAACCAGCTGGAGGTGCTTGAGGCCCAGTGGGGAGTTGGCAGCTCCCCACAGAGAGATGATCTGAAGTTGCTCTGTGAACAGAAGTGTAAGTATAACGGGGGGGACCGGAGGGTGTGTTCCAACTATAGGGGGATCACACTCCTCAGCCTTCCCGGTAAGGTCTATGCCAGGGTACTGGAGAGGAGAATCCGGCCGATAGTCGAACCTCAGATCCAGGAGGAGCAATGTGGTTTTCGTCCTGGCCGTGGAACACTGGACCAGCTCTACACTCTCCATAGGGTGCTCGAGGGTTCATGGGAGTTTGCCCAACCAGTCCACATGTGTGCTTTGTGGATCTGGAGAAGGCATTCGACCGTGTCCCTCGTGGTGTCCTGTGGGGGGTGCTCCGGGAGTATGGGGTCCGGGGCCCTTTGCTAAGGGCTGTCCGGTCCCTGTATGACCGGAGCAGGAGCTGTGTTCGCATTGCCGGCAGTAAGTCAGACCTGTTCTCGGTGCATGTTGGACTCCGCCAGGGCTCCCCTTTGTCACCGGTTCTGTTCATTGTGTTTATGGACAGAATTTCTAGGCGCAGTCAGGGGCCAGAGGGGGTCCGGTTTGGGGACCACAGGATCTCATCTCTGCTGTTTGCGGATGATGTTGTCCTGTTGGCTTCATCGAACCAGGACCTGCAATGTGCACTGGGGCGGTTTGCAGCCGAGTGTGAAGCGGCTGGGATGAAGATCAGCTCTTCTAAGTCTGAGGCCATGGTTCTCGACCGGAAAAAGGTGGCTTGCCCTCTCCGGGTGGGTGGAGAGTCCCTGCCTCAAGTGGAGGAGTTCAAGTATCTCGGGTCTTGTTCACGAGTGAGGGAAGGACGGAACGTGAGATTGACAGGCGGATCGGTGCAGCTTCGGCAGTGATGCGGTCGCTGTATCGGACCGTTGTGGTGAAGAGGGAGCTGACCCGAAAGGCGAAGCTCTCAATTTACCGGTCAGTCTTCGTTCCTACTCTCACCTATGGTCATGAGCTCTGGGTAGTGACCGAAAGGACGAGATCACGGATACAAGCGCTTGAAATGGGTTTCCTTCGCAGGGTGGCTGGGCGCTCCCTTAGAGATAGGGTGAGGAGCTCAGTCACACGGGAGGAGCTCGGAGTAGAGCCGCTGCTCCTCCACGTCGAGAGGAGCCAGTTGAGGTGGCTCGGGCATCTGTTCCGGATGCCTCCTGGGCGCCTCCCTCGGGAGGTGTTCCGGGTATGTCCCACCGGGAGGAGGCCCCGGGGAAGACCCAGGACACGCTGGAGGGACTATGTCGCTCGGCTGGCCTGGGAACGCCTCGGGGTCCCCCCGGAGGAGCTGGAGGACGTGTCTGGGGTGAAGGAAGTCTGGGAGTCCCTGCTTAGGCTGCTGCCCCCATGACCCGGCCCCGGATAAGCGGACGAAAATGGATGGATGGATTGTTTCACACAATCATGTTAACATTGCAAATTCAGATATTTAAAGTCCACTCACTTTTACAAAACTTATTTTCACAAAACATGAAATGCCAATGCTATGAGCACTTTAAAAAATCTAAACAAGTATCTTTAAGAGACCTAATAAAATGTAGTATTTTTCACTTGTATAATTACTAGTGAGAAGGATTTGTGTGGGACCATATAATGTACATTGAACTCTGTTTTGTGATGTTTTAGGAAGAGGAAGTTTCCCCACAGCTCTTCACTTTCCACGAGGCTGTGTCTCAGCTTGTGGAGATGGAAGAGCAGGTTCTTGAGGACCACAGAGCTGTGTTTCAGGTAAACAATTCAAGTGACATCCATTTTATCTGTGTAAATCTGAGCTGCATGGATTTATAAATCTTAAATCTATTCACAGAAGTCGATTCGTTGGTTAGAAGATGAAAATAGTACTTTTAGAAATGACAAAGGNTTTCTGTAAACTGTCCCTTTTAGAGCTATCAATGAAGGACTTAGATGTCATCACTATCCCAAGTAAAGATGTTGTTATGGTTCATGAACCGAAGCAAAAAGTTGACCTGACACGCTACTTGGAGAATCAAACATTTCGCTTTGACTACGCTTTTGATGAGAACTCCACAAATGAAATGGTTTACAGGTATGGGTTTTATTGTCCCTTTGAGCATTTAAAAAAATCATGACTTCAGACAACATCAACTGTGTTGCCAGATTTACAGCCCAGCCTTTGGTTGAGACCATTTTTGAAAGAGGAATGGCAACTTGCTTTGCTTACGGACAAACTGGAAGTGGAAAAAACACATGTAAGTAATGTTTCTGATTCCGATATGTTGTGAAATGACATTACTTAGGAATGACTATGTTTCAGACCATGGGAGGAGACTTTTCAGGGAAGAACCAGGACTGCTCTAAAGGAATCTACGCTCTGTCAGGTAAGTTATTTAATCATTTAATTTTGTTTTAGCTTATGTATGCATGTGTGTATATTTTTATATATACCGGTACATATATATGTATGCATTATATTATGTACGTATATTTTTTTTCAGCCAGAGATGTCTTTTCTCATGTTGAAAAAGCCAAACTACAAAAAGTTAGATCTCCAGGTCTTTGCCACTTTTTTTGAAATCTACAGTGGCAAGGTTGGTATGCATACTTCATACATACCCATATTTATATGTTGTTTTAATAAACAGCTGCTGCTTTTGTCTTTAAGGTGTTTGACTTGCTGAATCATAAGGCCAAGCTGCGGGTATTGGAAGATAGGAAGCAGCAAGTCCAGGTGGTGGGCCTACAGGAGAGAGAGGTCAAATGCACAGAAGATGTCCTTAAACTAATCGAAGTCGGAAACAGCTGCAGGTATCCTTTGGCTCAGCTGTAGTATATGATTCCTTTATTGGCTGTGGGAAATAATTCATATGATTTTCCCAAGGACTTCTGGGAAGACATCAGCAAACGCCCATTCCTCCAGGAGCCATGCCGTTTTCCAGATCATTTTGCGCAGACGAGGAAAGATGCACGGAAAGTTTTCTCTTGTCGATCTGGCTGGAAACGAGAGGGGAGCTGACACATCCAGTGCAGACCGCCAGACTCGTCTCGAAGGAGCTGAGATCAACAAGAGTCTGTTGGCTCTGAAGGTATGCTGCCCAATCCTTTACCATATTATCTGATATGTTTGTTATCCTTTTGATTTATCTTTTTCAGGAATGTATTCGGGCTCTAGGACGAAACAAACCCCACACTCCATTTAGAGCAAGCAAATTGACTCAAGTACTGAGAGATTCCTTCATTGGAGAAAACTCTAGAACTTGCATGGTATGGCAAAAACCAGTGGTCACCATTTAACTTCTGTTATGTCCTTGATGAGACACTTAGTTAAACCATTGAAGAAGAACCACAGGAAACGTTTTGGAAGTTTAATTTTCCTCTTCAGATGGTGTAACAGACAACAACGTTGCTCTTAGAATCTGAGCCAAATGTAATACCAAAACAAAGTGCATTCATCTTATTTAAAACTTTATATATTCACTTAATAATACAAAAATATAAATGTTTAGGGACTTATAAACACATTAAGTAACTCACAGTATTGCCTGCTTTGAGCTCCAAGGTGGATTACGGTTGATGAGACCAGCCTGACAGATCCCACATACAGAATGTCTATTTTCTGGTTTCCATCTATGGAAACCAGAAAATGCACACCGGAAGTGAACCCATTCCGCTATTTTTTTTATACATTTTTAAACATGAAAGTAATTAACTTATTTATTAAAGGAACACTATTAAAGGTACAATTGTCTTAAGGGCAACACAGCTTCATACCTTAAGTTTGGTCAAGGGGCTTGAATGTTTTTATTTTTTCAGATTGCTACAATCTCCCCTGGAATGGCATCTTGTGAAAACACTTTAAACACTTTGAGATATGCCAACAGGTGTGTGGGGTTTAATTACACCTTATTGTCCTTGTGTTGTGTCTTGTGTCTCATTTAAAATCACTGTGTTTGCAGGGTCAAAGAGTTTGGCATAAACCCTTCAGATATCTCTTTCACACAGAGCGGGGGAGGAGGGCGATCTGAGTTGTCACCTACTTATGAGTATGACCTATACTGATTAACTATATATATATAAAACAGTTATACTAGTAAACCTTTTAAAAACACAACATAGACCTGAAGAACATGTGACCTCTGCACTGTTTATGTTCAGGGTCCAGGATCTAACAGTGGATCCTCTGGCAGCGATGGACTGTCATCAGGCTGGACACATTAACCAGCTGGAGGTGCTTGAGGCCCAGTGGGGAGTTGGCAGCTCCCCACAGAGAGATGATCTGAAGTTGCTCTGTGAACAGAATGTAAGTATAACGGGGGGGACCGGAGGGTGTGTTCCAACTATAGGGGGATCACACTCCTCAGCCTTCCCGGTAAGGTCTATGCCAGGGTACTGGAGAGGAGAATCCGGCCGATAGTCGAACCTCAGATCCAGGAGGAGCAATGTGGTTTTCGTCCTGGCCGTGGAACACTGGACCAGCTCTACACTCTCCATAGGGTGCTCGAGGGTTCATGGGAGTTTGCCCAACCAGTCCACATGTGCTTTTGTGGATCTGGAGAAGGCATTCGACCGTGTCCCTCGTGGTGTCCTGTGGGGGGTGCTCCGGGAGTATGGGGTCCGGGGCCCTTTGCTAAGGGCTGTCCGGTCCCTGTATGACCGGAGCAGGAGCTGTGTTCGCATTGCCGGCAGTAAGTCAGACCTGTTCTCGGTGCATGTTGGACTCCGCCAGGGCTCCCTTTGTCACCGGTTCTGTTCATTGTGTTTATGGACAGAATTTCTAGGCGCAGTCAGGGGCCAGAGGGGGTCCGGTTTGGGGACCACAGGATCTCATCTCTGCTGTTTGCGGACGATGTTGTCCTGTTGGCTTCATCGAACCAGGACCTGCAATGTGCACTGGGGCGGTTTGCAGCCGAGTGTGAAGCGGCTGGGATGAAGATCAGCTCTTCTAAGTCTGAGGCCATGGTTCTCGACCGGAAAAAGGTGGCTTGCCCTCTCCGGGTGGGTGGAGAGTCCCTGCCTCAAGTGGAGGAGTTCAAGTATCTCGGGTCTTGTTCACGAGTGAGGGAAGGACGGAACGTGAGATTGACAGGCGGATCGGTGCAGCTTCGGCAGTGATGCGGTCGCTGTATCGGACCGTTGTGGTGAAGAGGGAGCTGACCCGAAAGGCGAAGCTCTCAATTTACCGGTCAGTCTTCGTTCCTACTCTCACCTATGGTCATGAGCTCTGGGTAGTGACCGAAAGGACGAGATCACGGATACAAGCGCTTGAAATGGGTTTCCTTCGCAGGGTGGCTGGGCGCTCCCTTAGAGATAGGGTGAGGAGCTCAGTCACACGGGAGGAGCTCGGAGTAGAGCCGCTGCTCCTCCACGTCGAGAGGAGCCAGTTGAGGTGGCTCGGGCATCTGTTCCGGATGCCTCCTGGGCGCCTCCCTCGGGAGGTGTTCCGGGTATGTCCCACCGGGAGGAGGCCCCGGGGAAGACCCAGGACACGCTGGAGGGACTATGTCGCTCGGCTGGCCTGGGAACGCCTCGGGGTCCCCCCGGAGGAGCTGGAGGACGTGTCTGGGGTGAAGGAAGTCTGGGAGTCCCTGCTTAGGCTGCTGCCCCCGTGACCCGGCCCCGGATAAGCGGACGAAAATGGATGGATGGATTGTTTCACACAATCATGTTAACATTGCAAATTCAGATATTTAAAGTCCACTCACTTTTACAAAACTTATTTTCACAAAACATGAAATGCCAATGCTATGAGCACTTTAAAAAATCTAAACAAGTATCTTTAAGAGACCTAATAAAATGTAGTATTTTTCACTTGTATAATTACTAGTGAGAAGGATTTGTGTGGGACCATATAATGTACATTGAACTCTGTTTTGTGATGTTTTAGGAAGAGGAAGTTTCCCCACAGCTCTTCACTTTCCACAAGGCTGTGTCTCAGCTTGTGGAGATGGAAGAGCAGGTTCTTGAGGACCACAGAGCTGTGTTTCAGGTAAACAATTCAAGTGACATCCATTTTATCTGTGTAAATCTGAGCTGCATGGATTTATAAATCTTAAATCTATTCACAGAAGTCGATTCGTTGGTTAGAAGATGAAATAAGTACTTTTAGAAATGACAAAGGAGGTAGACTATGATGGTTGAATCATATGCAACTCAACTTGAGCAAATTCTGGATCAGAAGATAGACATTCTCACTGAGCTGAGAGGTAAAATACAGTAATCAAGACTCTTGTTTTTTACATTGATACTTGCAGAGCATAATCTGTAATTCTGTTTTGTTTTAGACAAAGTAAAGTCTTTTCGCTGTGCACTACAGGAGGAGGAGCAGGCTAGCAAACAGATCACCCCAAAGAGGCCTCGGTTTAAAAAAGGAATCAGTTTAATTTAATCTTGCCTATAACCTTTGTACATGGGCATGATTTGGGCATGTGGTCTTTTTGTGTAAAATGAACCAAAACAAGCTGTTTGTGTCTGTGTAAAGTTAGAAAAATTTGACAATTATAAACTAAACTTTGGAAAAAAGCATTGTACGGTTGACCTATGAGGGGCACTGCAGTCAAGCCTGAGAGTTTAATGGAAACTTGAATCATTGATGATTAAAGTGAAATGAAGTGAACTAATTTGTCATAATAAAAAGTAATGCATTGTTATTGTGTCCCATTTTTGTGTTTTTCCATTGAAGTCTTTAACATGCACCTCTCAGTAAAACTGTTGCCAATACATTACTAGTATATTACCATCAAATAGTTTATTTCACACAGCAAAGGCAAAGAGAGCTTCATCTGTTCAAAAAACCTCAGTGCTTTATCTGAGGTTGAGGTCAATAAAACAAATGTTTTTAGTAATTAGTCAGCTAATACTAATATTTTATTACAGTGTAGTACAGTATAGGCTAGCATATACTTGGCCCCTTCATATCTTAAGTTGGTCATGCTGATCTTGTTGATAATGTAATAAATAAATATTGGTAAAATAAATAAATGAATAATTAGGCTACTCATTAAAATTATAAAAATTGAATGGCCTAAATGAAGTGAACATCTTTAAGAGTTGCAGTTAAGCTTGCAAATCCATAATGCTTACTGCTCAGAGTATAGTTTATTTACTGATACTGACATCAGTAGAAGCACACATAAATACACAATATATGCACATACTATAGGCCATGAGATTAAATGCTGGAATACAAAGAACAACTGGTCAACAGGAGCTGTAGTGCTGTTTGATTTCACTTACCACACATTATCATTAGGTCTGATACAACTTTAAAGGTGCACTATTTACCACTTGCTTGTTTTCATGGAGATGTGATAGATTTGTCTGGAATGTTCCGCAGTGTGCCTAAGGAACATAAAAACAAGCAAGAGACGCCACCAGGCCAAGTCTGCACTTGATCGCTTCAGTCCTGTGGTTTTGCATTGCTGTAATATGAACTGTTGGTAAAATAATAATAAAAACATAAAAGCCGCGCGCGGCGATGGTGGCCCTCGCCCCGGGCACGCACCGCCCCCCCTGGCGAACGCCGGGGACTCGCGACCGCCGGGGACTCGCGACCGCCCCGACACACCGCTCTCTCTTCCCGACAGCTCCCGAGGCCAACAGCTTGTCCACCAGAAAAATGACATAGTGTACCTTTAAAATAGGATAAAGTGAATGATTCTAGAGCCAAACTGTAGACACTAAGCCACAGGTCACGTGACTTTAATGGTCAAGAGCACTGTCACACTAAGACTAAGTGCATGAAAACACATCCTCCACCAGAAAAGTTACATAGTGTGCCTTTAAATTTCTCAAAAGTGAAATTATTCTAGAGGCCAAAGTGTAAAACTAGGGCATAGGTCTTACTGACTTTTATGATGAGGAGTACGTCAGTGAATGTTTTGGCAAAGTTTTACAAATTAAATGTAAAACTAATTTTATGTCACACAATAATAAATTGTGTGTGCATTCATATAGGTGGCGCTGTATCCCTGATAACTGTATTTGACATATCAATGGAATAAGGGTCATGCAGTGTATAACTGATAGAAATGTCATCACAATCGGACAAAACATGTGCATATAATAATTTTTACAATATTTTTGGGGGGGATTCTCTGTGCCCCTGCTGGCCAACCGTGAAAAATACACCATGACTGTAATAGACATTTTTGCTTATAATCATGCAAAGAATTTATTCCCCGACTTTGGTCCAAGTCCGATAATGTTAACATTTCATGTCTAAAGAGGCGTTGACACCAAAGCGTCAAAAAACGCCTTGACGCCTCTATTTGGACGCGTTTGCATTTGAGTGTAGACGCCCCCGACGCGCGTCTTTGACGCCGTGAACAAACGGGACAAAAATACTTGACGCGCGTCCGTTGCCCTGGAAACAAAAGCCCGGTCCCGGTCTTTTCCCAAAACAATATCAGACCAGACTGAGAGAGTGTTTTTATGACATAAAACATCAGCGGAGGAGATCGGGTCGACGACTGGGGCGTATATATATTTATATACTCCGCTAATGACACTGAATCAGTCCCGGTCTAGTCCTGGTTTGGTCCCGGTCTAGTTCTTGTTTAGTCCCAGTCGAGTCCTGGTTTAGTCCTGGTCCGGTCCTGGTGTAGTCCTTGCGATCGGCTCGGTGATTGTGGCGTATATATTTATGCTCCGCTCATGTTGGTGGTTCTGGTTCTGGTTCTCGGGTCTTGCTTCCTGATAATAACGTCGCTGCGTCACTGGATACTCGTCCCTGATTGGTTGACGCGGCGCGTCTGACGTGAAAAGTTCAGCATTTTCAACTTCTTGACGCTGACGCTTTGGACGCGCGTCTTGGCCGCTGACGCCAAAACGCTCAAGAAGCGCCGCGTCGACGCCAGATTCGCGCCGCGCTGACGCCGAAAACGCGCTGCAAAAACGCAGGACGCTCTAGTCGCGCGTCCACATAGACTTTACATAGAAAGTGGACGCTTTGACGCTTTGGTCTGAACGGGCCTTAAGGTAGGGGGCGCTATACTGTTCACTTTTCATATGTTTTATATAGTTTATTATATTCAGACCAATATCCCGCATTAGTGATTCAAATTTCAGCACAATCGAACTAAGCATGTCCCTGTAATCATTTTTTTACTATTTTTAGGGGGAGTCTTTGCGCCCCTGCTGGCCAACCATGAAAAATGCATCATGTCCATAATGGACTTTTTTGCTTGTAATCATGCATAGAATTTAATCCCCGAATTTGGTCCAAATCCGATAATGTTGACATTTCATGTGTATGGTAGAGGGCGCTATAGAGTTCTCTTTTCATATGTTTTATAGTGTATTATATTCAGGCCGTGATCATGCATTTCTTATTCAAATTTCAGCACGATCGGACTAAGCCTGTGGGTGTAATCATTTTTTTATTTTTTTTTTTGGGGAGTCTTTGCGCCCCTACTGGCCAACCATGAAAAATGCACCATGTCCGTAATAGACTTTTTTGCTTGTAATCATATACAGAATTTAATTCCCGAATTTGGTACAAATCCAATAATGCTTACGTTTCATGTCTATGGTAGGGGGCGCTATAGAGTTCATTTTTCATATGTTTTATAGTGTATTATATTCAGGCCGGGATCATGCATTAGTGATTCAAATTTCAGCACGATCGGACAAAACCTGTTTGTGTAATAAATTTTTAACTTTTTTTTGGGGGGAGTCTTTGCACCCCTGGTGGCCAACTGTGAAAAATACCCCATGTCCGTAATGCACTTTTTTGCTTGTCATCAGGCATAGAATTTAATTTCCGAATTTGGTAAAAATCCGATAATGTTGACGTTTCACGTCTATGCTAGGGGGCGCTATAGAGTTCACTTTTATTAGATTTCATATTTCATTACATTCAGGCCTGGGTCACGCAATTGTGATTTGAATTTGAGTTCTCTATGACAATGCCTGTGGCCGTGACAGGCCTTCGAAAAAACAGGAAACGAAGGCGTTATTCGCCGGCGTGCTACGGGCGAACCGTACGGAGTATCTCAAAAAAAGTTGAAAATTTCTGTGAGTTCATGTCTCTAGATGTGACATGTCAAATCTGAGCTCATTTGGACCAAACCCCGGGGACTTGAATCTTTTTGTAGACCCCCAAGTCGAAACGGCGCCGAATTTTTGATCCAATATGGCCGACTTCCTGTTCGTCATACGGGTGCACAATGATTGGCTTTTTTTGTTTGTCTCCATGAGTTCTATCACTGTTCCGAATTTCGTGACCCTACTCCAAAATATGCGTCTGAGCCTCCCAGTCATCTCAAAATTTTGAAATTTCAAGGGGGCGCTGTTGAGTGGGGGGGCTTTGGGCATTGTCGCGATGCCCGTTTTATCGAATTTTTCGCCGGACCGGTCGATCTGGACCCCGGTTTGGGGACTTTTCGTCGATATTCAGGGGGTCAAAAATGCGATCGTTTGGTCGGAAAAGGGAATAAAAAAAAAAAAAAAAAAGAAACCGACGAAGAACAATACCCCTCGCGCCAAATATTTTGGGAAAGATCAAGTGAGTTCTTCTTCTGTTTTTTTTTTTTTTGTGTGTGTGTATTTGTCTATTTGGTTTGCTCATTAACACAAATTAAATGTGCTAAAAATAAGTCCCCATTTCAGCAGATCTCAAACCATAATGAAAAGTACTTTTTAATTTTCAGTCCAGGTCTAAAATATAATGCAGTACAGATACATGCTCTTAAATGGAGTGAAGTAAAAATAAAAATTGTCTGTTGTAAAATTCATTTAAGTAAAGTACAGATACCTAAAAAATGTAATTGGCCCTCGCCCACTAACAAAGTTAGGGGCGAGGGGTATTGTTCTTCGTCGGTTTCTTTTTTTTATTCCCTTTTCCGACCAAACGATCGCATTTTTGACCCCCTGAACATGGACGAAAAGTCCCCAAACTGGGGTCCAGATCGATCGGCCCGGCGAAAAATTTGATAAAATGGGCATCGCAACAATGACCCGAGTGACCCGACTCAACAGCGCCACCTAGAATTGGACCCCTATGGGAGTGGGGACAGGCAAAGTTTGTCGCAGGGAAACGAAATTCAGGACACTGATAGAGAACAATGAGACAAGCCAAAAGATGAATTGGAGCATGACCCTATGACGAACAGGAAGTCGGCCATATTGGATC